TATATATATATATATATATACATACATATATATATATATATATACACACAAATAAACAGTTTGAAAATCCATGATTTTGGGGGGAAATACTATTATAGTTTCCCTTTAAACAATTGTTGAAAAAAAACCCTGAAACACTTGCTATGGCTTGGGGAAACAGCTATTATGGAATCATATCATGATTTGAGCTCTGCTAAGAGGCAGGATCATAGTTCAAGGTAGCATATCCTCCTCTTCAAAGGATGTCACATTGCCAAATACTCAAGCATTTACGTTTCTCCGGTAAAGGCAAGCATGGACACTGAGGGATCCTGGAGAAGGGGGTCTTGCAGTAAAAGCAATCATATTAGGACTTGTTCTATCAATGCATTTAGGAGAGCAGGGTGGGATGGGTAGCTTAGATTCTTATTTTTGACATAGATCTACAATTATCACCCACTGGCCTTTTATCTCAGGAGGAGACCCTCACCATCTACAGCAGTATTTGTAATGTAACATACATTTTAAACTCCAGTAGACAGAGTAAGACTTTCATATAACAGCCACCCAACAAGTGGATGGAGTTGAGGAATATGGTGTGAAGATATCGACGGCTGAGTTCACAAAGTATATTTATGAGAAGATACCGGGAAGGATCGGCCTAAAGAAAAGATTTTACCATCCGCTTTAGGTTTCTGTTATGTCCAATTTAATTGTCTCTAGAAGCACATGCAAGTCGTCTTCTTGATAAATTAGGTGGTGCATTTGGTAGCACCACTGTCTTTTTCCTGTTTATGGGATATTGGCCTGAGCTGAATACATTTTGAAAAACCCAACATTATGGGTTGTAAACATAAGTAATCTGCAGCTGATATGACGACCACATTTGGATGCTAATAACCATGTAAGGTTTTGCTGTTTTGCAGAATTTAAATTGGATCCAGAAACAAATGTGTCCGATTTCTATAGATTAAAGTATAATGCATGCAGTGTACATATTAATCTATAGATTTCTGCCATTTAATATGTACTGTATAGTAGGGTTGCACAAATACCAAGTACAGTACTCGGTACAAGTACATGTACCGATACTTTTGAAAAAAGAAAGTATACTTGCCTTATCCTCAGTCCTGCCTGGCTGCTAGACTGGTGCCCATAGCCTCTTCTCCCCTGGGCTCCAGCAGTCTAAGGACTGCTGACATCATTACATCTTATGCAGGTCCATTGACTTGCATTAGACGTGAGGACACCGACTGACAGAGAACAGAGGATCAGGTGATTATATCTTCTTTATTCTGGCTCCTAGAGATAAACGAGCACTAACCCTTGCACTGTGGGGGTAATCCCACTACAAGGCTTAGTTTTATAAAAAACCTGGAGTTCTGTTTTAAAACCTCAGTTGTACTTTTTTTTTTTTTTTACTTACTAGACGCAGCTCATGATCTTTGGACTCATTCACAAGATGCAAGCCGTGGTGTTCCATAGAATGTTTTGTTTCTACCGCTGCAGAGAATACTCTGTGATTGACCTGTTTTGAGCCCTCCCCTCCACCTTTCCCCTTTTTTTTTTTTTTTCATTCATTGATTTCAATGTGCTTTATAAATGTGCCATTTTTTTTAAACAGTGCTATGGCTGTGGTAAGGTCATACCACTCCTTTATAAATGGGTACCTTGTAGTGCCTAATGTAGAGGACATCCAGTACTGTGCAAAAGTTTTAGGCGGCTGTGACAAAATTCTGTAAGTAAGAATGCTTTCAGAAATCAAAGTGTTAATAGTTTATTTTTATCAATTAACGAAATGCAAAGTAAATGAACAGAAGAGAAATCCAAATCAATATTTGGTGTGATCACCCTTTGCCTTCAAAACAGCATCAATTCTTCTAGGTACACTTGTACACAGTTTTTGAGAGAACTCGGCAGGTAGGTTGTACCAAACATCTTGGAGAACTAACCACAGATCTTCTGTGGATGTCGGCTGCAGGCTGCCTCAAATCCTTCTGTCTCTTCATGTAATCCCAGACAGACTCCATGATGTTGAGATCAGGGCCCTGTGGGGGCCAAACCATCATTTCCAGGACTCATTGTTCTTTTTTACACTGAAGATCGTTCTTAAAGGAGAACTATGGTTTAAGTGTTTTTCCCCATAGTTCTCCTCAGGGTCACGGGAGGACATAAACTAGCTTCCTATAGCTTGCGGTATACTAAGACCGCCGCCGCCGGGACGGATCCCGACATTACTGTCGAGATCCACCCAGCTGCGTGATTGACAGCTGGCTCTGCCTATCTAGAGGCAGAGCCAGCTGCACCCTCCCCCGTTCGTTCCTCCAGTCAGTCAGTGGGGAGGGGGGTAATCCCTGTAGGGAGCCGTGAGTGACACGGCTCTCTGCAGGGACATGATCGAGAAGTGAGCGAGCGACGGTATGTGTTCGCTCACTTCCCCATCTATTGAGCCGACGTGTGACAGTTTAATTGTCGCACGTCGGCTCGAACTATGAGGATGGGGTAAAATCACTCACCTCATAGTTCTCCTTTAATGACACTGGCTGTATTTTTGGGGTTGTTGTCATGCTGCATAATAAATTTGGGGCCAATCACACGCTTCCCTGATGGTATGATGGATAAGTATCTGCTTGCATTTCTCAGCATTGAGGACATCATTGATCCTGACCAAATCTCCAACTCCATTGGCAGAAAAGCAGCCCCAGACTTGCAAGGAACCTCCACCATGCTTTACTGTTGCTGCAGACACATTATTGTACCACTCTCCAGCTCTATGGGAAATAAACTGCCTCCTGCTACAGCCAAATATTTCAAATTTTGCCCCAAAGCACATACTGCTATGTTTTAGTCCCTATGTTATAGTTGAATTGCTTAGCCTTGTTTCCATGTTGGAGGTATGGCTTTTTGGCTGTAATTCTTCCATGAAGACCACTTCATGCCCGACTTCTCTGGACAGTAGATGGGTGGACTTGGGTCTCACTGGTTACCGCCACTTCACTGCTGGACATCTTCCGGTGTCAAAGGGCAGCATGATGTGTCTTTCATCTGCTGCATTGTTTCCTTGGCCGACCACTGCATCTACGGTCCTCAACGGTGCCCATTTCTTTGTACTTCTTCAAAAACAGCACATCTTGAAACCCTAGTCTGCTCTGAAATCTTTGCCTGGAAGAGACCTTGTGCCTTGCTGCTGTGCTCAGTCTTGCCATGGTGTATGACTTGTGACATGAAACTGTCTTCCACAACCTCACCTTAGTAGCAGAGTTTGGCTGTTCCTCACCCAGTTTTAAACCTACAAACCCACTTGTGTTTCAGTTAATGACTGTCTCTCAACCTATATATAAAATTGATTATCATTAGCACCTGCTTGATATAATTGGTTAATCATACACCTGACTCTAATCCTACAAAGCACCTGGACGAATTACGGTAATCGACCGCACATGTTTTCGTCTGCGCATGTGCAGTGTAAATCGTACGAATTTTGACGTAGGGAAACGCCACCGACCTTGCGCAAATCGTGCGATCGACCGACGATTTCTAACTTTCTGGTTAGTCAAAAGTCGAACGATTGTACTGTATTTGCTGTTGTACACTGCCCATCAACCTTACGTATATCGGACGAAAACGCGATCGCATATGAATATCGGCCGATATTCGTAAGGTGTATGGGCAGCTTAAGAATTGATGCTGTTTGAAGCCAAAGGGTAGTCACATGAAATTTAGATGTTGCTTCTATTTACTCACTTTGCATTTTGTAAATTGATAAAAAATAAACAATAAAATTACTTATTTCTGAAAGTATTCTTACTTTACAGCATTTTTTCCCCACCTGCCTGAAACTTGTGCACAGTACTGTATGTGCTTTAATTACTTTCACATTGACAGATTCCCTACAAAGGAAACCTGTCCCAACCAAAATATGTTGTCTAGCATTTTACACCTCTCATGAAAATTCTGGTTACCTGGCTGCCATGCTAATCCTTTATCTTCAGTACATTGAGTGGCTGATCTGCAGTTGGTATGCAGATATAGAGTTTTGACTTCACTTCCTACATACTTGTTCTGAGTCAGTGAATCAGAGTATTGAAGCCAGACATTTTTCAGAGAGGTTGAAATTAATAGCTCTTGCATTTTTCAAATGATGGGTTTTCTTTAACTTAAAGTGTATGCCTGTCAAAATGTTTAAAAAATCATATTCAGTATATTTCTGCACTGCATGCACACTGCAGGTACAGAAATGTACCTGTTCATCGTGCCGGAATCCAGTGTGCTCCTAACTATGTGCAGTGAGCTGACAACTCTGC